ACCTACACTTTATAGCAGGCAGTGTGGCCCTGAGAGCTGACCTGCACTCCACAGCAGGCAGTGTGTCCCTGGAGAGCTGACCACACTCCATAGCAGGCAGTGTGGCCCTCAGAGCTGACCTGCACTTGTTCCCAGCAGTGTGGCCCTGGAGAGCAACCCTTGGCAAACAGGGCCATGGGTGCATGTGAGGTGTTCTCTGGACCTTCTGGGAGCGTACCCCAGGCTGGAAGCAGTCGCACCTGTCCCCTGTCTTTCCTATGGCTTCCCGGTGTCTTCTATGGGTGTGGACACCTGTGAGTCCCATGGTTTTATGTGGATTGAGTCCAGGATCCTTGCTGATTCCAGACAGCACAGAGTTAGCACCTACACACGTGAGCTGAGAGGCACAGGGAGGGGTGTCCAGAGCCCTGGGCAGGGAGTGAGCCTTCAGAACCAAGCGGCACCAAGAGAAGGGGACTCATAGGGCAGAGAGATGCAGCGGGCACCCAGGAGTAGCCATCCAGCTTCTGAAGGGAGGCCGAGGCCCTGGGCTCCCGGAGACAGGAGGGTCAACTGAGTGCCTCCTGTCCAGAAGTCCACCTCAGAGTGCCCAGGGTGTCCTCCAGGAAGGGCTTGGGGGATCCTGACATTCCCAGCCTGTAGCTCCCGCTCCGGCTTCCCTGCACCCTTGGCCCTGGGGCACATGCTCAGCTGTGCCCACTGCCCCTGCCTCGCTGGCAGATGGGGACAGAGTCTGCTGGGTGCACCTCAGGGCTCCACACCCAGCAGAGCCGCCTCCCTCAGAATGCCCCTAGGCGCCCAGGGACTGCCGCAGGCCCGGGATGCGGACAGCAGCCAGCCTTTGGCCTCAGCCCTGCTCCTCCCCTGGCGCTGCCTGACGGCCTGCAGCCACCCAGGAGCAGCCACCCTCCTCGTGGTCCGCCCGTCCTTCACACCCTCCTCTGCCCACCCCTGTGCTGGGGTGGACAGAGGTGGAGGCCAGAGGAGGCCCCAGGGTGAGGTCGCTGTGGCCAGGCTCTGTCGTGATTCTGCTCCTGCGGCCTGCGGACAGATGGTGTGGGGTGGGCCTCCCTTCCCGGGCTCAGCTCCCTGGACCAGGGACATCACTGACTTGCTGCCCTCCCCCACCCTGAGCACTGTCCTCCGCCATGACGTGGCCCACACACGAAGACCCAGGCTGGTGGCTCTGAGCTGTCTGTGGCCACCCCTTTTCCTGCCCCTTCCCAATCTGTGCCTGGTGGTCCCCGTGCTCAGCCAGTGCCTCTGGGGACCCCTGCTGTTTCCCCTCACCTCAGTCACACATGGTGAGGTGTCCAAGGGTGACGTTTCCTTTTGGTGTCACAGGGAGTGGCACTGTGGCAGGGCCCCTCCTGCCTCCCAGCAGGAGCAGTGGGACCTGGGGTCCAGGGGACGCCCTGGCACCTAGGACGTTCCGCATCTCAGGGCCACAGATGTGCACCTGTCACAGTGTCACAGTGGGACCTGGGGTCCAGGGGACGCCCTGGCACCTAGGACGTTCCCGCGTCGCA